CCAGACGGAACCGCCGGACAAGGGAGTACAGTGGTGGACTGGGCAAGGACTGGGCCCCCAGAGGGGTCAGCCAAGGAGACTGGGACCGGTGCAGGAAGCGGTGTGAGCTCAGTACTGTCACGAAAGAAACAACGGGAAGCACCTGAGTCAAGGGTGAAGGTGTGACAGGCCTCAGCCGGTGCGGTACCTGAGAGAGCAGTCTCTGTGGGTGCTGTACCTGAGAGAGCAGACTCGCAAACAGCCGGGACAGTACTGGAGGGAGCAAGTACAGGGGGCACCATACCAGAGAGAGCAGACTCACTAGTACCCAGGGCAGCGGGCTCTATACCTGGATCAGGCGGCACACACAAGTAACAGTCTCCCTCGGCACTAACAGTCAATGCATACATGGCAGCAATAATAGCATCATAGTCAAGAGCAAAGACATCAACACCAGCCCTCATCAGCTCAGCCCAGCGGGGGCGCTCAACATCCTCACCCATCTCCTCACGCCAAGCGTCGTCAAGGCGGGAGAAGCAGCGGTACGGGGTGTGGAACCTCCCACACGTCTGTCCCTTGCGGTCACCTGTGCGAATGACATAGGAACAGCGGCCACTGCCCCCCGACGTCCCACGCTGAGCAAGCCACTCACGAAGCTGCTGGGTCGTCTGGGGACGCTGCTGCTGCTGGGAGCTCTGGCCCGAGCCAGTGCCTCCACTCCGACCTCCGCCACCACCACTACCTCCGCTCCGACCGCCACCGCCGCCGCCGCCACTGCCGCCGCCGCCGCCACCGCCGCCGCCGCCACCACCGCCACCGCTCCCTCCGCCGCCCCCGCCTCCGCTGCCGACCCCACTCCCACCAGCACTCCCGCCACCGCTCCCTCCAGCACCGCCTCCCCCCCCACCTCCCCCACCTCCTCCCCCCCCAGCGCCACCACCACCACCCTTGCCCCCCTTGCCCTTGCCGGTGCGGCGCCTCCCACCAGGAGCAGAAGCAGCGCCAACAGACTCAGCACCAAGGAAGTCAACAGTAGCAGCAGTAGCATAGGAGGGAGCGAGGGGAGAGGGAGAACACCCCTCAAAGATGGGGGTGCGAGGAGCGCCACGAGCAGCACCGACAGCTACAATGCTCTTTTCGGCCGCGAGCAGCTGCTCCTCTAGGAGGGGGACTGTGAGCTCAGTGGGACAGCGAGCAAGGAAGTGGTCTCGAACTGAGCTGAGGGTGTCAGGGAGACGGGTGACTATGAAGTGGAGTGTCCAGTACAGTGGAGGGGGGTTCTTAGCGCAGAACTCGGTGGGAAGGGCGGCACGCAGGCGAGCATCACTAGTGCGAAGGTGGGTGATAAGATCGGCGACTGTAGCAAAGGTGGACAGATCGGGGAACAGGTACGGCAGCATGAGGCGGCTAAGCTCGGCTGTGGCAGGCGAGGAGTAGCGAGCAACGACAGCATCGTACAGGGCCTTAGCGGATTTGTAGTCGCCAAAATGCTCGAGCTCAGCTAGCGGCAGGTGACTGCGAATGGCTAGGCGAGCAGCTGCGTCACGAGTCTGCCAGTGGGAACGAACACTAAGCTCAGCTGTGGCAGGGGGGGCAGGTGCAGCACCAGACGCGTAATCATAGAGCGACACATGCTCCTTGCTATCGCTCAGAAGGAACAGCTGCAGGTCATCCAGCCAAGTGGCGAACTTCACAGGGCGGCCCTCAGCATCGAACGACAGCACGCGGATGGAAGCCATAGCGACAGCGCGACTGAGCAAAGGAAGCTGCCACAGCGCTGCAGGTAGGTAGCTCGGCGGGAAGCGCGGCGGGCGGGCGACGCGGCGAGCGGGCAGTGCGGGGGGCGGGCTACGAAGCGGGCAGCGCGGTGGGCAGGCGGCGCTGCAGGCGGGAAGTGCGGCGGGCGGGCTGCGAAGCGGGCAGCGGGGCGAGCGGGCGACGCGGCGAGCGGGCAGCGCGGCGGGCGGGCTGCGAAGCGGGCAGCGGGCGGGCGGGCGACGCTGCAAGCGGGCAGCGGGCGGGCGGGCGACGCTGCGAGCAGGCAGCGCGGCGGGCGGGCTGCGAAGCGGGCAGCGGGCGGGCGGGCGACGCTGCAAGCGGGCAGCGAGGCGGGCTGGCGACGAAACGGGCAGCGGGCAGGCGAGCGACGCTGCAAGCGGGCAGCGAGGCGGGCGGGCGACGCTGCGAGCGGGCAGCGCGGCGGGCGGGCGACGCTGCGAAGCGGGCAGCGGGCGGGCGGGCGACGCTGCGAGCAGGCAGCGCGGCGGGCGGGCTGCGAAACGGGCAGCGCGGTAGGCGGGCGACGCTGCGAGCGGGCGGCTCGGCGGGCGGGCGACGCTGCGAGGGGCGCGCGAGGGCGCTAGCGAGGGCGCGCGAGGGCGCTAACGAGGGGCGCGCGAGGGCGCTAACGAGGGGCGCGCGAGGGCGCTAACGAGGGGCGCGCGAGGGCGCTAACGAGGGGCGCGCGAGGGCGCTAACGAGGGCGCGCGAGGGCGCTAACGAGGACGCACGAGGGCGCTAACGAGGGCGCACGAGGGCGCTACGAGGCTAGGGCACGGGGTAGCGTGGTAACCGCATGCGAGCGGTGGTGGGCCCTTAAAAAAAAAACGGTCGGTAGGTCCTAGGGACCTCCTGCTCTGAATACCATGTGAGAAGAACTAGGCAAGAATGATTGGATTGAAAGAAGCAAGGGTACAAATAGGAAACCCTAGTTTGGGTTGTACCCCATATTGGCTACCCCACTACAGCCTACCAACATATAACACATTACAATCTAACAGGAGAACCCTAGCTAGGCAAGAGACATTTTGGCAAAAGAAGAGAGGTTTCACTAGCAGCAATGAGGATACATATAGCAAACCCTAGATGGGTTGTACTCGCTATAGAGCACCCCACTACAGGCTAGAGAATGACATTCTGACACGATGTTACCGGGTATGAAATTGTTGGACGAGATACAGACGACATCCACGCGAGAACCACAGTTTTCGCGGGCTCTGGTAACCTACTCCAGCTCGGTTGGGTTGGGTTTGGTCGACCCGGGTCTACCCGACCTGGTCGACCCGGGTCGACCCAACCCGACCCAACCCGGGTTGGGTTGGGTCGGGTCGGCCTGGTCGGGTAGGTCGGCACTGCGGGCTTCCTGGAAATTCGGGATCGGGGGGTACATGGTCGACCCGACCCGGGTGGGTCGCAACACGTCGTTAGACGATCGTAAACAGTCGTCTGCAGCCGTTTACCACCACCAACTCGCCAGAAATTGGGGTCGATGTGGATCGCGGTTGGGCCCTCAGCTCGTTTCCCACTCAACCTTCCCCACTCGCGAACTGTCGTAAACTACCGCCCAAACCCAATCAATCCCGGTTAACGCTCGGACACTGTAGCTGAACAATCGGGGATATATGCTGGTTCCGACACCCCCCCGTTTTCCAATCACAAATGGCAATACCCTGGGTGGTTTATTGCCGTGGGGGTCAATCACGGTAACCACAACACAAACGACGCACAAGGCGGCGTTTACGACCCAAAACGCCTCTTACATTTTTCTGATGGGGGGAAGGCGGATGGGGGAAGGCGGATGGGGGAAGGCGGCAGGAGGAAGGCGGTAGCGGGAAGGCGGATGGGGGAGACGGGGAAAGCGGACGGGAGAAGGCAGATGGGGGATGTCAGATGGGGTTGGGGGCATGGGGGATGCAAGAGGGAGGTGTGGCGAGAGGGAGGGGGGGTATCGAAGGTGTGTGTGCGGAAGTGGGGAGGCGGGGAGGGGCAGGGAAGGGCAAGGGGGGTTACAGAACCGTTCGGCTGCCTGCCTGCGCTGACAATCGCCTTATCGTCTACTACTTCCTTGGCTGAATGCCCATGAGGCGATTCAACGGTGACTGTGGGTCGAGTAAGTAGCCGTTTTGATTGCGTCGCGTTCACGCCGTCGCGTATACCCATCGACGGTAGCGGCATGCCGCTACACTGCGATCGCTAGTGGCAGTATTTCGAGAGAAACGCTCCTTAGCGAGACACTCACTACACGAACACGTTGACGACGGCGAAGCTCCACCGCGATCGCCGAGCTTCTTGCGGCGTTAACGGGGTGTGAGGCGGGTTTTGCGGCTGCGGGGAGCGAGGAGTAGTCGGGTCCAGCGGAAAAGCACTTGGCGTTTGGTCTCCTGACACACTGCCTTCCGTTGGTATGTATGGTTCGACCATGACTCAAGACGAGCACCGGTTCGCAGAAAGACGCGGCTGCTGTGGCTCCGATATGATAGCTATTTACTTGTCAGCGCGAGGCTGCTCACGAGGACCCGTCGTGGTGAGCAGAACTTGCGAGCTGCGACATGTCGCACGTAATTCGCGGAATGATTTCATTGGCTCGCTTGTACGCACTGTAACCTGTCCCATGTCGCAAATACAGAATCTTACGGAGTTGTCGCGGAAGTCATCACAGAACAAGAAGCTGCACTATTGCAGATTTGAATCTGCCCGCTCGGTTTCATTGCTCCAACACATTCGCCACAGTACTCGCACAGAATGCCTGCCCAAAGCAGAATTCCCTCCCTCCCATCCCAGTCACCAGACTTTTTTGGGCAGCCAAGCCTCATCGCCTTCCATCAGCCAGGTTCGCTCACACTGATGAGGGCGGGTTTTCGTTCGTGGTTTGTCAGCAAATGGTTCATCCTGGTGCGCAATGGTCTAATGCGGTGAACTACAAAAACCGCGCCTAAACGTAGTTTACCGTGTTTAACCACGTCGAACGAGCCCAGAACAAATAAGTATGATCTGCTCTCAACACCAACTCCCCATTTCCAGAACTGATGTACGCGTTCCTCGGCGTGGCACTGCGGCCGCATTCCTCGCTACTTTTTGAACATCACCCCCATTTCTAGCGCGAAGGCCGACGATTGCGCTGTGACCCGTTCCAGCCACGCGATCGCGTTCTTAGCGCTCCTAAAGGAACTGCGAGCCTCGAGTGCTGGGCTCTCCCCACTGGAAGCGTCCGAGTCTCGTTTATAAGCCACCGGCGATCAGCCATGGATTCAACGCTTCCGCCGGTTCTGCCGTATCTTAGGAGTAGCGCCATCAGCTATACCACCGACTATCTATACCTGTATCAGCTATCTCCCCCGTCACCCAGAGCCTGTCGCTTGTCGCCGGAGGCTCCAGTCACTCGATTGTGCGTGCACCCACTGCTGACGTGGTAGCTTGAACCCGCTGGTCACCATGGCCGCTTCCCCTGCCGCGCTACTTCCGTTCCTCGTCCTTGCCGTCATCTGCGGTGAGTCGGTTCTAGTCTTGAGATTTTTCCAAGAAGTTTCACTTTTTGAGACGTTTCAAAACTCCGTTCCGCGTTCTTCAAGTGTCATCTGTGGTGAGTCGTTCATAGTGTCATCGTCTCTCTGCTTCGGCTGCCGCGTATTCTCAAGCCCCTTGCGGGAAACGTGCACGCGCTAACCCTCGCGCCCTCTCGCCCTCTGCGTCCAGCGGTCGCCACAGCTCACGTGGCGGCAGGGGAGCGCGGCGCGGATCGCCGGAACACGCCGCGTGTGCGAGTGGACGGCGCGAGCAGCGCTGTGACTACGAGGAGGAGCCTCAAAATAAAGACCAGATTTACCGCATATATGGCGGTGGAAGATGGGAATGCCGACATGCCAGCGGGAGTTGGGGCGGGTGTGGGGGGAGACAGCACGGGCATGGTAGCGAAGGCGAAGGTGCGGGTGGCGACGCAGGTCAACGTGGTGCCAGCTCACCGAATGATCAACTTTAACGCCCCAGCCACGTGCGTCGCCCTTGAGCCTTCTGCCCAGGCGTCTCTCAACGAGGCGAGCCAGGGCGTGGAAGTGTGGTGGCTGGGAGCGCCGCAGCAGAGCAACGGCTTCAATGGGAAGCGTCAAGTGGCGTGCAGCAAGGTCTCGTTCTTCCAGAACTCTGCCTGCCAGGGCGCGCCAGTGGCCGAAGCCGTGAAGCCGCAAGTCCCCAATCTGAAGAAAAACTTCCCCCGGCCCAGGTGGGTGGGTGATGGGCATGCGCCTGGGTGGATGATGGGCATGCGCCTGGGTGGGTGATGGGCATGCGCCTGGGTGGGTGATGGGCATGCGCCTGGGTGGGTGATGCGGCCAGGTAGGTGGTACCATTGATGTGAGCCGCTGTTATAATAGCCGCGCTTTGGGTCATGCATTCTTATGATTTACATCTTACGGTAACTTGTTTCGAACGTATCCGATTCACATCTTCTCTGAACGTGTTGTTCCTCTCGTCCTTGCAGCAAGGTGGAGGTCCCCAAATTTGCTTCTCTTTCCTGCAAGGCTGGTGCGTACCTTGCCTTCTTTTCATCTTGCCACCTTGCCATCTTGCCATTCTGCCACCTTGCCACGTTGCCATTCTGCCACCTGCCACCTTGCCTCCTTGCCACGTTGCCACCTTGCCGCCCACATCGTTTGCCAGGCATATGAGAGATCGCCCGCAAGCATCTCTGCTGGCCCCCATACGGGGAGACATCACGTGCCAGCAGGCCACGCGTCCGCGCAACAGAGTGACAGTAAGGGCGTCACTAATTGCCTCGTTTTCCCTTCCCCGTTCTCATGTCACTAGCGTGACAGGTAACTGATTGCGCTTAGATGAAGGCAGGGAAGGGACTGCAACAACTTGTGGCAGGGGCTTTGAAATAACTTGCTGATGGCAGTGCTGGTGTTGCGTGGTGATTTCAAATCCACAGAGCACGCTTCAAGTGTTTTGTTGTTTGACTTGTTTTCCCTTGTTGGGGTTGCGGGAGGGGAGGGGAGGGGAGGGGGCAAGAGGGGGGGTGTTGGAGTAGGGAGTGGAGAAAGTGGGAAGGGAAGGCAATTGGAGGGATTCATGCCTTTCTCGCAGTGCCTAAGGTTAGGCATGCTTTGTTGTAATATTCCGATCCGGTTTCATAGTTAATACTAGGAACATTCTCAACAGCTTATGCTTTGCAGTCTTCAAATGAAAACAGCTTTCTGAGTTGCGAGAAGTGGGCATGAAGCCCTTCCACAACACACCCTATGACGCCTAATCTCTGGTACGGCTCAAAGAAGAGCACATGCCCTGTGGACAGCAACAACCCAAGAGCCAGCACTCCTGCCACCACCTTGGGTATCGGCACCAGCTGTCTCTTCCCCCACTCCTTCCTCACCCATGCCTCTGCCACGGTCAGCACTCCATGTAGGGTGAAAAACACCATCTGCTCGCCTGTCATGGCTCCTCCAAGGTACAGAATTACCAGCTCGTGCATGATTCCGGATACAGCAAATGAGGCTATTGTCGCTGCTGCTCGGGCAAAGCTCACATGGCGGCTGTTCGGAGAGGTGTCAGCTGCGGCAGCAGGTGAAGAACATCCGTTTTGCTTCGCCGCCTTGTTTGCTCCTTGATAGTCATCACAGTTGTCAGTAAGCCCATTTGGTGACTCTCCAGTCCCATTCACACATGCCGTTTCCTCTCTCCGGCTGCTCCTCTGATAGCAGCCGTTGATATGCTTATTGGAACCATTCACGTTCTTCCTACAGCCGTTCATCCTCTCACAGTTACCATTCACTTTCTCACTGCAGCCGTTCATCTTCTCACAGTTACCATTCACCTTCTCACTGCACCCATTCATCTTCTCAACCGCTTCAAACCCATCAGGAGCCCTGCAGCCGCGACCATTCATGGCATCATGCTCCCCATTCACTGCTGATTTCCCAGCTCCAAACGTCGAATTACACTCCGGATCTCGTGCACTCTTCTCAGTTGCCCTCCCTCCTTCTGTTGAGCACGGCCCTTCAAGCCAGTCCAGGAGGGGTTCGTAGACGGTCTCTCGCAGGCTGACGCTCACAACGAGGTTCCACCGTCGCGCCCAGAACGACCCCAGCGACGTCGCCAGGTACGGGCGACGGAAGTGAGGCTCCACGGCGAAGCGCGGGGCGACGGCGGCGACGACCCCTGCGACGAGTTCGCAGAGGAGCGTGACGAAGAGGAAGAGGTTCGCGCTGTGTAGCAACGTCACGGCCGGCGCGGGGAGGTTGAGAGCGTACGCGCGGATGGTGAGGGATAGGAGGAAGGCTTTAAATGCGCCCCGAAGAAGCAGCTGCGGCGAGGATTCGGATGCAGGCTGCTTGTGGCGGCGGGGTTGCTTTGTGTTGGGGGTTTCAGGCGAAAAGGCGGCGGTTTTCGCCGTTTCGCGAACGCGATTTCGCATGGGCATGTACAGTGCGACGAGGAATTGAAGAAAGCTGGAGGAGTAACCCGGGTCCGTCAGCGAGCCGCGGTTCCACGCGAGAGCGAGCAGGCGGAAGTTGCCAAGCCACGAGACCGTCCAGAACACGAGGCCCTTTTCGATGCACTCGCCGCGTTTCGCGGCGGAAAAAACGCAAGGGACGGCGATGTTGAGGAGAATTATGGGGGAGAGGGCGAGGAGGCGAGGGAAGCCCTTGGGCAGGTGGCGAATGAGGAAGAAGACGAGCGAGGAGGTGACGACATTGCACGACGCGACTACCAGCCATCGCTGGGCTTGGCTGACGTGCTCGACGGGCACGAGGTGGAACTCGTCGAAATCCATGGCGCGCGCGCGGCGTGAATTGTGTGGACTTTTGGGAAAATGCCGCGAGAATCAGAACGAGAGGTAGGCTAGTTAGTGGCGCTAAGGAGCCACATCAACAGCTGGTGAGCCGGCATTATCTGCGTCACATTGTCACCGATCGGTAGCAACCAGGACAAAGGAAGTGAGCCGAGGGTGCCCGGGGCACCCCAGGGAGTGCAGCAGGCAGGAGGGGAGCCGAGGGTGCCCGGGGCACCCCAGGGAGTGCAGCAGGCAGGAGGGGAGCCGAGGGTGCCCGGGGCACCCCAGGGAGTGCAGCAGGCAGGAGGGGAGCCGAGGGCGCCCGGGGCACCCCAGGGAGAGCAGCAGGCAGGAGGGCAGCCGGGGGTGCCCGGGGCACCCCAGGGTACGCAGCAGGCAGGGGGGGGATCGATGGACGACCGGGAACAGCAGTTGGAGGAGTGGTGCCGACTTTTGGAGTTTGATACCCCCATGGCGACTGCGGAGGAGTCAGAGGCGGACGGAGAACCACCCAGTCCGCCTTCCCCATGCCCCCGTTTCCCGTGTGACACGTGTTTCCACACGTTCGCCACGAGAGGGGCCGCTGCGAACCACATGAGGGTATGCCGGGCGGCTGAGGCGGAGAGACGCGCGCAGGCACTTGGCTCGATCCCGTCTCTGGTGGAGACCGACACACAGGAGCGACCGACGCCGCGGGAATTTGGGGACGAGGCGTGGGCAGGGGTTAAGTCATGGGAGTGGGAGGCATTTTTCTGTGTGGAGGCGGTTGGAGGGAGGACAGTGCGCCGGATCCCGCAGCGGGCCCGGTCCGGGGTCTTAGACGCACTCTGTTGCATCTTGAAGCGGCTGAAGAGCCGACCGGGAGATGAAGCTGCTACCCTCCTACTCCTGGCGTTTCCGCGCCTCATCCTAGCCGTGCCTCCCAAGCCAGGCATAGGTCAGAAGGCGCTGATCATAGAGCGGCTGGGGGCCTTCTGGGAGGGGAGGTGGCGGGAGTTGTTCGACGCTGCCATGGCGGCGGCACGGCCAGCAGTTCGCCCACTTGCCTACACGTGCTCTGACCAGGACCCGGAGGCCATCCGCCTGTCACGGTGCCGATCTCGGTGTAAAGTGGGAGAGTGGAGCCGTGGTTTGTCTTGCCTCACAGCAGGAGAGTTGGCTCGACCGTCTGAGGCTATGGTGCAGTCGCTGCGAGGGAAGCACCCAGCTAGCAGTGGCGAGGTACCACCGTGGGTTCGTGAGTTTACTGTCGACGCTCCTCAGCGGCCTCCACTCACGACCGACATTCTGGCTAGAGCTATCCACACAGCTGCTCGCGCCTCAGCTGCAGGGCCATCGGGATGGGTCACAGAGCATCTGCGCGACACTTTCCTCACGGAACCTTCCTGCCTCTCCCACCTGCTGGAAGTGTTCAACCAATGGGTGGCGGGACAGGTCCCCGAGCGAGCTCGGCCCTGGCTCGCCGCATCCAACCTAGTCGGGCTTTCCAAACCCAACGGTGACGTCCGGCCGGTGGCGATCGGGGAGGTGCTTCCGCGTATCCTCGCTCGAGCTCTCTGCATCTCGCTTCGCCCTGTGATGGCTTCTTATTTTCTGTCGTCTGGGAGTGGGCACCAGGGCCGGGGTGGAGATTCTTACTCATTCTTTCCGGTCAGCGCTGGCCACTCACCCCGACTGGTGTGCGCTGCAGATAGATGTCGCGAACGCCTTCAATTCGTTTCATCGCCACGCGATGTTCGAGGGGCTGAAGGAGTCGCCTTTCTCAGGAATGATCCCATTCTTGCGTGTCTTCTATGGGACACCTAGCGACCTGTACCTCCGAGCGGGCCCTTTCGTACAGAGTCTTGAGTCGGCACGAGGATCGCGACAGGGGGACCCGCTCGGCCCTTTTCTTTTCGCTTTCACGCAGCAGCAGGTGCTGGGGACGGTGACTAGAGAGTTCAGGGACCTACTTTTCTTGAGCTATGCAGACGATACCTACATCCTGGGACCAGCGGCTAGGATTCTGGAGGCTTTTGGGGTGCTGCGAGAGAGGTTGGAGTGGGTGGGGCTGGAAGTGCAGGCGCACAAGTGCAGGTTTTGGGAGCGTGGAGGTGGGGATATGGAGCGGGCATTGCCTTTGGGGATGCAGCGGGAGGAGGAGGGTCTTACTGTGGTGGGCGTGCCTATTGGGGAGGAGGATTGGGAGGGGGCCCGATTACGGAAGCGGCTTCGCGAGTTGCAGGCGCCATTGCCGTGGCTCCCCCTGCTCGACCACCCCCAGATGGCCTCGCATCTCCTCGCTATTGCAGTTTCAGCACGGCCGATGTACCTGGCCCGGACTATGCCGCCGCGGCCGGAGGTGGTGGAGGCCTTTAGAGAGTGGGACAGCTGTCTGGAGGATTGCTTTGAGCAGCTTTTCCCCCCTGGCACTTGGGAGCAGGATCCCGGCAGGTCTAGGCGCGCACGCATGCAGCTGCATCTCCCTGTGCGCCTCGGAGGGTTTGGGATCCGGGCGGCGGCCTCTTTGAGTCCGCTCTCCTATGTTTGTGGGTGGGCGCAGGCCGCACGGGATATTGCACATTTGGGGGTGGCGGGCGAGGAGGCGATGTTCGCAGAGTACCTCACCACTTCGGCGGGGGCGGAGCTTCTTGACCCGTGGTTTGCCAAGGCCATTGAGCAGTTGCCCGCGACTATACGCCAGGAGCTGCCGGACTTACCCCTGTGTGTGGCGGCCCCTCCTCTTCGGCTTTTCCAGGCGCGGCAGCGGCAGTTGGCTGTTGAGGAGCTCCAGGCACTCCGCCGCTTGGCTCGTGACGATGCCACCCTGGCCCGTTTCACATCCCTTCAGGGCCCGGGGGCTGGTGCATGGGTTTCGGCAGTTCCGGCTCATTCAGATCTCACATTCACTGCAGCGGAGTGGGGCATTGCTGCTGCTATACGGCTTGGTCTCCCAATCCAGCAGCTGCAAGTGGCGGGGAAGTGTGTTTGTGGCACAGCGTATGATGACCCAGCAGACCCGCATCATGCGCTGAGATGCAAGCACCAACACGGTCCATCTCGGGTGCATGATGAGGTGAAGTTTGCGGTGGCAAAGATCGCTAAGGCGTCAGGGGGGGTGGTGACGATGGAGGATAGTGCGGTGCTGCCGGGGAAGCGGGTTGACGTAGCGGTGCGACGACCAATGGCTGGGGAGGCTCATGCTTTAGAGATTAGTGTCGCGGACCCGCTATCACTGTCTCCATCTCTGCTAGGGCAGTGCGGGCGGTCTATAGGCGTGGCGGCAAAGGAGTGGGAGCGTCGCAAAACGGGGGATTACGCGCCTCTTCTTGCACGGAACCGAGGCGTGCAGTTCACCCCTTTGATAGTGGAGACGTGGGGGTGTCTCGGCGGTCGCTTCCGGCGGTGGCTTCGACAGCAGGGGGACGCGCACGTGGGGCTAGCTGTGTCACGGGGGGCTTGTCGGGAGGATGACACTTCGTTCTCGGCTTACCTTTTGGGGTCTCTGAAGGCGCTCATCGGAGTGGCGTTACAACGGGCGCAAGCTCGTGTCATCCTGCTTCGGGCGGCGTCTTCCATGGGGGGGTTGAATGTGGACTTGGTGGATCGGGAGAGGGACGATGTCGAGGTGGAGGCCCCCTACATGGTGGATGTGCAGATGTGACTTGGGGGGGAGGGGGGGGGGGGGGGGGGGGGGGGCGGGGGGAATGGGGTGCGAGATGGGACGTCTGGTAGGGGATCCTGGTTGGGTTTTTTCTTCATATAGTATTTTTATGGGGCTTTTTATGGGTGTTGCGTTTGAGTTGTTTCTGGTGTCTTTCTTTCCCGTTCCTCTCCTCTTGTGCGATGCTTTTCTTTGAAAAGACATGGTGTGCGAATTACAACCCAAGCTGTTGGCGAAAAAAAAAAAAAAAAAAAAAAAAACAAAGGAAGTGCGCTATATACAGAGTCGTGATCTTGTTTTAGCTTGCCAGATCTGAAGCAGGGGGAAGCTGAGTGACACCACTCTCAGGGCGAATTCCTAGCTCGTGTCTGACATCAGGTCATCGTCTCGACAGTCTCTGATTGGTCCCTCCGAATGTTGATTTGCCCCTATTTCGAGCCACTTCGGGTCTTCCGAGCCTCCACTTCGCCGATGACCTGATGTCAGACACGAGCTAGGAATGCGCCCTCAGTTTTCAAAACTTGAGAAGTCTGATGTGCGTGTCGTGTTTTCAACCACTGGGGAGGGCAAGTGTAGTTCACTGCAGAGGGGTCAAGAGGAAGGCCACGCCATGACAGAAAACAATGGTCGGATGGATGTATCTGGTCGACTCTCTGATAAAAGGGAAGTCCGAAAAATGAAGGATATGGCTGTACCTGCGGCTTGGATCCCGCCATGTCAGCAGTCAGTGCCACGATTCCACGAACTGCCGATTTGGTTTGAAAAGAGCTAGGGGTTACAGTATGGTCTGTGGGTTGAGTTCAGTAATTGTATACAGTACACAGTTTTACACATTAAACATACTCGCTAGAGTCATCTTCGCTGAAAGCTCAGTCTTCAAATGTTTGAACTAGCTCGATGAGGTTGTGAACCTATCAGTACATTTCCCGCCTGAAGTAACACCAGAGCGCAAACACCCCAAAAGCACACGCATACCACCTTCTGACACTTAGGGGTTGACTGAAAGCGGAAATACTGAACTGCTGCTGGGTATGGTACCTGGCGGCGGTCTAAAATGCGGAAAAGACGCCGATGAGTCGGCCACAACAACACTAGGAGATTATGATTAGAATGTCAACTTGTTTTAGCTGCCGAGCCAATCTATTGTTTGTAGGAAATTTGGACCAGCAATGCGGCGCAGACTGACAAAAAGCTCGAAGTTTCAAATCCTCCAGGTCGCGTCCACCTTGTCATTTACTCGCGCGTCAATCAGGCTAGCAGGTACCACTTGTTACACTAGCCTACCACCTGTACCATAGCTTATCCTGCTACACCGTAGTATCTCCACGATTCCTCGTTATCCTCGAACGTTTAGAAT